TTGAATAAGTATCTCTATATATATATATATATATTTTTTTTTTTTTTTTTTTGGGGGGGGGTGTCCTTACTGTAACTGTAGTATCATATACCCCCACCCTTTACCCTAATCCTCAATCCTACTCCCGATTCCCTGAATTCCACACTCTGTCACTAAACCCTAAACCCCAAACCCCCTAAACCCTAAACCCCCTGAACCCCAAACCCTAAACCCCCAAACCCAAAACCCTAAACCCCCAAACCCCCAAACCCCCTAAACCCTCTAAACACTAAACCCAGAACCCTAAACCTTAAACCCCCAAAAACCCCCTAAACCCCGCCCCCGGACAGCTCGGTAGAATCGAATCTCGGAGGCCAAGAACTGCATCTACCTGAAGAGATCGATGGCTGGAGGCCTTCAAGGGGTGTAGGTGTTGTAGGGTGTAGGGTTTAGGGTTTAGAGATCGATGGCTGGAGGCCTTCGGGGTTTGGGGGTTTAGGGTTTAGGGGTTTAGGGTTTAGGGGGTTATGGGGTTTAGGAGCTTTAGGGCTTTCGTGTTCTATTTCTAGTTTATAGGTTAGGCTTATAGGGTTTAGGGGTTTATTGATCCTACGCCCAAGCTAGCAGTACCTAGCGAGGAAACGTAGAATCCCACCAGCAGTGACCGCAGGTTATGCGGACATCGAGAACCCGGTGTTCTTCCGCGAGACCACCCAGATGTTGCTAGGTTCGGTCCCCGGTGCCGGGAGCGGGATGAAGTGAAGGCGTGCTTCCTGCGATGAAGGGCTCTATGTTAGGATCTTTAGGGTTTAGGCTCTTTAGATCTTTAGGGTCTAGCGTTTAGGGTAGCTCGCATTAGGATCCCGTGTTGGAGCTTGAGACTTTGCAGCGCCCATAGCACCAGACAAGCCCCTTCCGCCAGAGCTCCGAGAAAGCGTGAGCTGATCTCGCAAACTCACAGCGACACAAGCTGCCTTGCACATGACCCAAAACTGCCTAAGCCCTAAACCCGAGAGCCCTAAACCGTAAAGCCCTAAACCCTATACCCCTAAACCTTAATCCCCAAGCCTTCCCCCACTGAATCCCCAGTCTAACCCTAAACCCTATCAGCTGTAAACCAAACCTCGAACTAGGTAGTATTATTTTGGAGACCCCTTACAGGGGACCCTTCTGAACCCTACTTCTGGCTCTCTTAAAAAGAGGACCTTATTGAGAGGGTCGATATCCCCAAGGGTCCCCCTGAACCCTAAACCCTAAACCCTAAACCCTAAACCCTAAACCCCTAAACCCCTAAACCCTAAACCCTAAACCCTAAACCCTAATCCTAACTCCCACGAACACCCTCCGCTGAGGCGACGGCAAGGCCAGCTGCGAAGGCATCGCAGCGGCGCTGAAGTCGAAGAGTTGAGCAGGCCAAGGGTTTTTGGAGCCACAAAGTAGGGGGGTTTAGGGTTTTAGGGTTTAGGGTTAAGGCTTTAGGGTTTTAGGGTTTTAGGGTTTAGGGTTAAGGGTTTAGGGTTTAGGGTTTTGGGGTTTAGGGTCTTAGGGTTTAGGGCTTTAGGGTGTTAGGGTTTAGGGTTAAGGGTTTAAGGGTTTAGGGTTTTAGGGTTTAGGGTTTAGGGTTAAGGGTTTAGGGTTTTAGGGTTTTGGGTTTTAGGGTTAAGGGTTTAGGGTTTAAGGGCTTTAGGGGTTCAGGGGTTTGGGTTTAAGGGTTTAAGGGTTTAGGGTTAATTGTTTAAGGGTTTCAGGGGTTTAGGGTTTTAGGTTCCTAAGGGTTTTAGGGTTTAGGGTTTAGGGAGTTTGGGGTCAGGGCTTGGGTGTATTCGGCCTTTGGGGCTTATTAGGGTTTAGGTTTAGGTTTTAGGGTCATGGCCCCCTAGCTACAAAGTACAGAAAGCGTCTAGAGTCTAAATAACGAATTTACAATTAAACTTCAAGAAGCCTCCGAGCCTTGTTTTGAATAGCACCCCTTGTACTTCGGGGTTAGCATGAAATCACATGCACCCCAAACGTAACCTTAGCTCCTTATTGTAGGATGCTGGTAGGCTGCGAATTTTCAATGTGGGCAACCTTATCTTCATCCTCAATCATCAACAGCTCTCTACGCCCCCAGCCGCCCCAACGCTAAACCTCAGATTCAAGGGGCTAAGTTTAGAGAGGGTTTAGGCCCTAAACCACAAGGGTAAGTGCAGCGGCATGATGAAGAATAACGAATGGAGCACACAACAACCAGGAGAGAAGTAGTGAAGTAGTGTAGGGGCCTTAATAATATACCTATACTGTTTTAAGGGTTCCTTATTATAGCTATAGTATAACATACCCCCATTAAGTAAGAGCGCCCTAAAGCGCAACATGAATAGCAAGCCTTTAAGCAGCCTAAGCACAGTGGCCGTGTTAGATCATGCATAGGTAATGATACCAGTACTAGTAATATTGGCGGTGATAGCTTGTCAAGTGTCATTAACTACACAAGCCCAGCCTAAACCCTTAAACCCCTGAGCCCTAAACCCTAAAACCCTAAAACCCAAAACCCTAATCCTAAACCCTAAACCCCTGAGCCCTAAATGGTCCATCTCAAACTGCGAGAGGAGCTTGCGGGCGAGGAGACTCCCGGCTTAAGGCAGAGGTTTACATCAGGGCAGTTCAGAGTGCCGATGAGGGACCATGGTTCAGCTAGGGCCAGCTGGGGTTTAGGGTTTAGGAATAGGGATTATTATGGTTCTTTGGGGTTTAGGGTTTAGGGTTTTAGGTCTTGTGGTTGAGGGTTTAGGGTATGTAGTTTGGCGTTTGGGAGTTTAAGGTCGCGCAGGTCCGGGGTGCTGGGTTTGGAGAGTTTATTCAAGACTTGTTCGGCAGTTACCGACGGATGGACACCCAGCCTATGCTGGTTCAAGAGGCATCGAACTTCCAGGGCTTCTCAGTTTACTTTGGGATAGCCTTTTGGCATGTGTTTGTTGGTGGTTTCTGCTCGTTTCAGGGGATTTCCAACAGAATAGTCTAGGATAGTTAGTCTAGGGCTTTAGGGTTTTTTTTGTTTCTTCCGTCCAAGGGGAGTAGAGCTGATAGCTATCTTTTTGCCTCCCTAAACCCTACAAGCACCCTAAAAACATCTTCAACCCCTAGACCCCAACGCCCCAAAATGCCTCCCGGACTCCTGGGTTCTGCATTTTACCGGGAAGGGCTTTTGGGTTCAGGTCCTGTGGGGTGAGCATTGATTTCGACGCTGGCCCTAGACCCTAAGCCCGTGAACCTCAAGCCCTGAAGGGCTCAGGGTTTAGGGTAGCCCCTAAACCCTAAACCCAAAATCCTGAAGGGTTCAGGGCCCAGGGTTTAGGCCTTAACCTTACACCCCTAAACCCTAAACCCTAAACCCCTAAGCCGAAGAAGGGTCCTGAAAGGAGCTGCTTCAGAGTGCAATTTCGGCTCAGCTGTGTTTGAGAGGGACATGTGGATGTCGCGGTTCGTGGCTCTAGGGTTTAATGTAGGTATCATACGGTCACTCTTGGGGCTTAAGGTTCTGCGTTTCAAGGCTCTTGACTCGTACAAGAAATGTGTATCACACGTCTGGGCTGTCCTGGTTCTGGTCCACACGATGGCTGACAAACGAACGAATCGGCGTGGCAGTATCGCATAAGGGCTTATTCAGAGGATTTAGGTTTTGCAGCCCAGGCGAAGAGACCTTGCCGAGGACGTGAACACGCTTCCCATGGCGAAATCCTATCTGCATGTAGATACAAGTTGTAAAACAGCAATTTTTCACCTGAGCAGCGGTCAACATTTGCGAATGGGGCAGCCCTGAGCGGGGTTTGCCGCATTGCGGCTCGTCTGGCATGAAAGTTAAAACTCCCTAAACCCTGAACCCTAAACCCTACATGCTAGCAGAGAAAACTGAGATGCCAGGTCTTTTCCTTCGTACAAAGTCACTACAACACGTGTCGTTGTGAAGCGAAACAGAATGAAATGATCCATAGGCCCCATGGTAGTTCCTTTTTGGGATTACCTACTAGGATCCTAGATATAAGCCACAAAAAGGAGCTACTGTGGGGCCTATGGGTAGATTAGTCTTTGTTTCGCCAGTCTCTGCCTAGGGCACAACTTTGCATGACACGGTAAGAGTAGAACGATTTATGCGAGTAAGCTAGAATTGAGTCTTCCGGGCAAGACAGCCCTAGGAGTCAGGGAAGGTGAATAGGGGTTTGAGTTTTGGGTTTTAGGGTTTTCGGGCTCATCGATCGTCGTGATAACGGCTGTACCACAGTACCATAGTACAGCAGCTATTGGTCTCCAAGTGCTAAATCCTAATTAAACCCTAAACCC